TGGCTTGTGTCAGAGAAAAGCCAGGATTATGAAATATCGAGACTGTGTCTACCTTAATCTCGTAATGTCTTGTGTGTCTGTTGCCACTGAAGCTTCTCGGTGGGAGATTTACCATGTATATCCTGTGTGTGTCAGTCTACATGCGAAAATAGCTTGCCGTTGTATTGCGTACACAGCAATCTGCAGAACTACATGTTAACAATACCAGAATGTGAACGTCATATTGTTCTCGACCTTCACTCAAGGGCTGCTTGCCACGCTGTTTGTTCACCAGGATTGTGTACTCATCATACTCTCACTCATTCTGTTAAGTTTCTTTCGAAATATCAAAATTCGGCAGAAAGTTTCAAAAAGTAGCAGAGGAAAATATCTACATCTTTCCTATTTGCAGAACCATTCACGTCTCTTTTAATGAGATTTTTAGAGAACTTTATTACAGAGATCAAAATTACGTAAACAGATGTATTAAAGAAACCTAACATTTCGAATGACCCACACAGATACCGCGGGTTCATTTACTACTGTCACAATAGAGATCCGTATGAAGAATTGCATGAAATGAGTCCAGTATCATTGGCAGAACACTGACATCTCGACAGACATTGGAAGAGAAATGAGATCAGAACGTTCTTTGAGGACATTCGGCTGTGGTATCGGATTGTTCTGTGCAACTCAGACATACAGCTCCTGTGTTTTTATTTAATTTCAGTTCGCTTTATCAAACTAAATAGAAATGAAACCTTTCTCAGTTTATGAAAAAGAAATTTTAAATTAATTTCTTTGTATCATGATTTTCATCTTAATGAGTTCTCATGGAAGATGGACATCAACAAAAGTTCCTCAGACCTTTGTACAAGGGAGTTGCTTATTAAACAAAGTACATTAATATTATCTTGACATGACATCATTGTCACACAGTGGGTAATTAAGGATAATTACCTGTGTTAGATCTTTAAATTCTTTTTCATCTATGGCGGAACTTTGCGGAAACACTATGGTTTCATGCCATGAATCGAATGAGATAAAACAAACTTCATTTCCCTCGATCTAAGTCCCCTGACAAGTCTACCCAAGATAAAAGAACAAGTGTTCGTGATTTTCACTCCCTGGGTTCTGAAAATACCGGAATTCCGCGCATGTGCACAATGTGAGTTTGATGCTTTGAAAAAATGCGAGTTTCACATCGTCTGCAACAAACAAATCCGACGCTCTTTCATGACGCTCCGACAAGGAAACATCGTGAGAACATCAGTGGAACTGTCTAACCTATCACGTACAACCGGAAGTGCTCACTGTGTTCGTTTGATCAGTCACTTGGGAAAAAGAGTACATTTCTGTTGAGTTATAAATTCTGGTCTTTTAAGTGATTTTGTGATAGACATACCCTGTAATATGTAATCATGGCGCTTTGTATAGATATGGTATTACTCAGACGACGACCTGAATCACAAAATGTGAGGGATGTCATGCTTTATGTCACATTTCTAATGAATATATCACTGACGTTAATTACAGATCAGTAACATGCATGCCAGTCGGAATGCTCTAAGATATTATCGATTCCATCACATAATTTGTTTTAATCTCTACTTTGTGGTGCTCTTTAAGAAACTTACCCGTTTTTCTTCTACCTCGGTGTTTTTGTAGAAGAACGTTTTTGTGATTGATTCATAGCTACGATTCCAAGTTTTGTTTGATAATGTGTATGTATTAAAACAAAAATAAAACATCCTTAGTGTCAAATCAACTTTGGATGGTGATGAAATCATGATATTTATATTTAGCATCGCTTATACTTGTTTAAGAGGTCCTACACCATTATGTAGGATACGGCCACGTCGTCCCAAGTCCTTGGTGTAACCAGAACCACACAAGCTGCAATGACCATAATTATGCTAGTTTTTGCCGATGAAAATAGAAAAATATGAATTTTTTGCGATCAGTTTTATAAATTCTTCAACGTGCGAAAGCGCTGGGAACAAGTGGTCTGTAATCAGCAGTTGCTGATGGACCCGGCTGGGAAATTGGCATCGTCAGATTTGATGAAGGGCAGTAGCAAATCAATCGTTGCAAGCGCGAGTTTCTCGGCAGTGGTAATGACATTTTCCCCATGAGCAAATGCTAAACTCCGCGAAAAGACTACTGACTAGAAAGCTCTGTATTCGCGCTTCCCCAACCTACGGGGCCCTTTACGGCTCCGTCATCGATCCACATTGCTGATAGGCGACTGAAATTTGTGAACCTCGTCTGATTCAATGGCAAAATATGTACTAGGATGTTGGGACGAGCATTGGCGTGAATTGCCCCCCACCCCAGTGGGAAATCAGGCAGCGCGGAGTGATACCACCTCCCTTGTGACCATTTACACTGATCAAGTGCACTAATCTCGTTTGTTTGTGTTCACGCGAGAATTTCAATCTCGATTCGTTGTAATTCGGCCCTCTCCACGCCTAGAAGATCTGTTCTGACAGCCTAACCCCTTAGGCTGTCTCCCTCTCTCCTCAGCCCTTAAGGCCAGCCTATTACCGGTAACCTTCGATAGGGACAAATTGATAGACTGTTTGTTCGATATTGACAATGTTTGCGCAACCGAAGAACTATGTTTGGTGGCAGAATTCTGACTAGTCGAACAGGCATATTGATCTTAAATGTGTAAACAGATATTCAATTCAATTTGTCCTGTAAATACAAGAGACACCTCCAGGCTTCCACAGGAATGAACATTCATCAAAAGCAAAATGTTTTATATTAGCCTAAATGTTGTGTTTGACACATTTCATGCTCAATAAATTCAGTTTGAGTACAAATATAAATTTAGAGAACCCTATATTAAACATGTCTAGAGTTTCCAGACAAAGTCAAACCATGCAGACAGTGATTACATTGAATAAAGCATCAATTTCACTCTTACTCAGAAACGACGGAAGATGTGGCATATATAACTGAACAAACCCAAAATCATTATACATAGACTAGACTCTTGTACGGTGTACTTGAATGAAATATCTTAAAGATGAAACGTACCGAATCTAATTTCTTCTGTTGGTGTTTTACTCTTCACTCTCAGTCCAGTTACTGACAGCCGTTTGCTAGCGATCCAGAACAACCGCATGTACGCATTTTATACTGTGTGGCTCACCCTTACACATACACGGGGAATCAGTACGATCCGTGGGATGCATCGAGAATGATAAAGTGACGTTATAATATACTTTAATGTATGTGCTACTGTTCACTAGAACACTATATAAGGGTGGTAGATCAACAGGTGTTCATTTGCATGTCCATGTTTTACATGTATTGCTTTTCCTGTCAGGGAAAAAAATCTCAACCCGGCGAGTCCGGAATTTACCGAACAAAGCCGAATGATGTTTTCCGGCATCCGGTAAACGTCGTTCCCGATTCCGGAGCATTAGCACCCACGACAGTGATGAATTTCCGTATAATCAATGCGAGTAGGGTGAAACAAAAATGCATGCGTCAGAAATCGAATTCTCCATGTCCTTTGATATGTCGGCAGGGCTTAATTGATTCATTACCGTCAAAGAAATCCTTTCATTAATTCCAATGAATAGTCTTTGATCACCCATATAGAAATATAACTGACAGATGTCTTGCAATCAGGGATATTCTTCATGTAATTTATGCCCAATGAAAAAGGTAGTTGACAGGTTTCACTGGCATTTAAAAGCCACATAAATACCTAAAGAGGTGAGTGACGTGACCGACTCCCGGAGGTGATGTCGTCACCAGGAAAACTGTATGTAGTCAGATGTTCTCCCCCACCTAAGGTGATCAATAAGTCAAGTGAGTATAAAAGTATAAACTGAACCCCTTCTCTCATGTGCTGTGTCTAGGGTTTAGGAAAACATTTTTTCACGAATTATATATGGTAGATAACTGTCAGATTCTTCATTTTACTTCAATAGTTCAATTGTCTTTTTTCCTATATTTTTCTCACAGTGACTTCCATAGTTCACATCTTGAATCAGTTATAGTTCAATATAAAGTGTTTGGATTACTGGTCAAAGTGGAGCACGTGGTCCACGTGCAAATGTGTTGCCACGAGCTATATGTGTCAATGTAAATAATCCATGTCACCTCCACCTGCCTGCGTCCCACGCTTTGCCTTGGGAAATATGTGTATCGGATTATGACATTAAATTATGCTATTTATTGAAATATGATCATAATGCTACCTAGGATTATAACCAAGCTGGTATTAATAAAGAAGAGTTGATCATTGTGCCGAGGCAGACACAGAGACGCCACTTCAGCTAACTTGGTCCGCTTTAAATACGTGTGTGCTGTGTCATAATTTTCCGATAACTTCGTTATGAATTCTCAAAAATGTATTTCAATCTATTATGCTGACAGTGTCAGATTCGTCAGCATTAAAATACTCTAACGATGTTCTTTTTTGCATCTCATGCAGCAGGTTTCGTACAACAGACGAAATACTTTTTAACGTATTTTATCAAATGGTAGTTTGGTTGTTCCTTGAAGTTGCCACAGTACAAGCAGTAATTTCTTAACATCTACTTGTAGTTGTTTTATTTTTCAATGAATATGAATATTATTTATATATTAATACTCGTTTGAGTAACTGGATAACAATTATAATCATAATAGAGAATTTCTTTAACTGTTTGAATGTGCTATATGCCACTTATAGAAATGTGTTTTCTTTCATTTCATTTATCATTTCTACTATTCCGTGGAAAGATATACTGTTTCTCGTCGACAGTGATAAAAAGATACAACGGTTATAGAATACACACCACTTCTTCACATACAGAAGACGACACAATGCTACATTCATCTCAGTCTCTTCAGGCCTTAACACTTATATTTGTCATGAAAGAACTGTAATGTATAACAGGATAAAATGTGTACATTGCATGACATGACGTGTTCATTCTTCCCCTTGTTAATCCAATGACAATGAAAAAAGTTGCTGTGCGATAGTCTATAACTGCACCATTTCTTTGCTGTTTAAGGCGGGCAGTTGGTGAGGAGTACGCATGCTCAACAATTGATCGGAGTGGCAAAGATGCGGACAGGGATCTAGATATCGACATAATTATTTGGATGGTGGATTGGCTCCACGGAGCGAGAAGAACATCGGGAAAGTTTTCATCGGACTATTCGCCGGACAAGGGTTCCGTTGCTTTGGAAAATTCACTCCTTGTAATAATCGTTGGAGACTGTCCCGGTGAGTGGTCGTGGAGGCAGGGTTTCTGGCAGGACAAATCAATTTAATCTTTACGTTTTCACGCTACTAAAGACTTTGAGTAACGATCTTATGAATGTTTCATGGAACTTGTTCTACCATCCATATCAGAGATATTCAATAATTGGGCGTCAGGAAGGTTAGGTGGATTGTTGTTTATCCTTCAACATCAGTGTGTGAGCCTTGTGAGTAGGATTACCAGCTCTTCTGACATGAACCCCAACTGTGTGTAACTTTCGTGTCACGACTGTGCGGCAACTCGGAGTAACTTTATGTGATATTGAAAGTGTGATCATATCTTTGTTCGGGCCGTCAATTCGAGGAGAGTAGCCAAGATGGGTTTTGTGCCGCCTGAATTTACGGAGAAGACCACACAAATGTGGCAAACTTTCAACAGCAAAGTTCATGAACCTAAACATCAACGCAAGCTGATCTTAGTAACTGTGTGTATAGCCCTCCTTCTGGATAACATGCTGTATATGGTGATTGTACCCATCATACCAATCTATCTTAGGGACCTACGAGGAGACCCTCCGCCAGTAAAAGCAACCAATTACACCTATTATTACGTTCAGCTCTCCACACCAGTGACCCTGGCAAACGGCACAATGTATAACGTCACGGAACAGAGGAAACGCCTCATCAACCTTCCCCCACCCCCAATAACATACGGGAATGAGGGTGGGGCCATAGGCGTTCTGTTTGCTTCTAAGGCTATTCTACAGCTCATGGTGAACCCGTTCACGGGTGGTCTCATAGACAGAATTGGCTATGATATACCAATGATGATAGGACTTGTGATAATGTTCTTTTCCACGTCAGTTTTTGCGTTCGGGAAGAGTTACTGGGTGTTGTTTTTTGCTAGAAGTCTTCAAGGAATTGGTTCTGCGTTTGCCGACACTTCAGGACTTGCTATGATTGCAGATCGTTTTACTGAAGAAAATGAACGTACCAAAGCTCTTGGAATAGCCCTGGCATTTATATCATTCGGGTGTCTCTTTGCACCACCATTCGGAGGAATTCTTTATGAATTTGCTGGAAAGTTAGTCCCATTTCTAGTTCTGGCAACCGTGTGTTTAATAGACGGATTTCTCCTCCTGCTTGTAATGAAACCAGTGAGACTTGAACGAGCACTGATCCCCCGAGAGGAGCGCCCAAAAGGTACCCCTATTCACTACCTACTCCTGGACCCTTACATCGCAACTGTTGCTGGCGCTCTGGCTATGTCCAACGTCTCTTTGGCCTTCCTTGAACCAACGATATCTCTGTGGATGAAAGACACACTTGGGGCTGACGAATGGGAGATCGGCTTTGTATGGCTACCTGCGTTTATTCCACATATTTGCGGTGTCTACCTGACCGTCAAGCTGGCCCGGACCTACCCTCATTACCAGTGGTTGATGGCCGCCGTCGGCCTTGCCCTTGAAGGACTGTTCTGTCTCTGCATCCCGTTCGCAAAAGCGTTCGCCGTCGTCATCGTCCCAATAATGGGAATCTGTTTTGGAATCGCTCTCGTCGACACTGCATTATTACCATCTCTCGGCTACCTGGTTGACGTCCGCCATGTCTCAGTGTACGGGAGCGTGTATGCTATAGCTGATATTTCCTATTCCCTGGCCTATGCTTTTGGACCAATTGTCGCTGGCTCCATTGTTCACGCTATCGGCTTCGTCTGGCTCAACGTCGCCATTTTCATGAGCAACGTCCTCTACGCCCCTATACTGGCGTCCCTCCGCAACATCTACAAGTACAAACCTTTCGAAAACGAATCGGATATCCTGGTTGATGATCCCCCGAGCAAGCAGTACCATACCTACATGCAAAATGGCGGTATTGACGGTAAGCCGACACAGTTGAACGGTGACGCTATGAATCACCTGGAAGTCAACAAGAAGCCCCCTCAGTACAGCGGCGAAATAGATTGCTACCCTCCCCAACACGAGGCTGACTACCTGTACACGAACAACTCATCGTCTTACTACCAACGCTGATATGGCCACTTTAACCTGAAAGTAAACGTTCCCTAAAACGTTACCAGTGGGAATATTCCTCTTCTAAACAAATCTGTTCAGCTAACATACTTTAGATAATATGTATTCCTAGTGAATAAGGACACAAGCAAACTGTGCTCAGACTGCCCTTACAGCGGTGTGCTTCATGAAGCCAACAAACACTTCTATGTCAATATCTGATTGACACACCCTGTGTTCTTATTCAGTAGACTGACTCTGGCGACATTCACTGATGTCCATTACATGTCAATGTCAGACTGACATCTGCAACAAGGCATGTACAAACAGTGTTCCTTAACAGCGAGCAACTGTAGAACTCTTCTCAGGAGAACTGTAGTGTAGCTGATAGAACTAGCAGTTGTTTTACACGAACAACGTGAAGGAATAACAGTGATTCTATTTCATCAACATATCACTATGTAGATATTGCGTCAACTTTTGACACGTCAGTATACGTACAAAATATAAAATAAATAGGATTTGCTTGTAGAAATCTGTTCTTAAAAATGATGTTGATACGAATGATTGACTACAAATGTTACCGACACATATATAAGATAGGTGCAGTATATTGTGTACAGAGTACTGGTTGTGAACTGGGTATTTCTCGTCAAAATCTGTAGTTATGTTTAGTTGTAATGGTGATAATCTGAAACATTTGGGAGACAAATATTCATCTTACATACTTTTAAGGATGCGTTGTCTAGTTATTGGGCTTAGACCAATGTTTTTGTTATTTTTGTCACATCTCTTAAACAGTAATTGTCAATCTTTCCTTAATAGCAAAACAATTTCAAAATTTGAAAACTAGTGTAGACTTTCGAATTTTAATCCATTTTCTACAATGAGAAGTATTTTACGGCAAATGAGTAGATCCAGATCTTTCTAATAGATTCAAGCATGTTCTCATTAATATTTTATTCAAATGAAGATAGTGCTATTCGCATAGAGGACATGGTGTTTGGGAAAAGTTGTTGGATTGTAGCAAGTTGGTGACTGGTTGTCCGTCCACAGTTGCAGTAGGTAAGCTTTTAAATACTTTGTTCAAGTTTAAAATACTTATTTAAAATTATCACTGTTGAAAGTTTGTAAATACTGCGATGTTTCGATGTTGATGTTAACCTACAGCTCACGTATATAATGAAACACATCCACATAGTGTGATAAGCATAGGATGATAGATTGTAGATACATTTCTTCATTTTTTTCACTTGAAATTGTTGACATGTGTGGGTGTTATGTGGTTTACATTGTTAGCAGATACTAAGTTATGATCACATGTGTATGATGCTGTAGATGAATCAACACATATGAGATGAACACATCTTAATATGGAAGTGCAATAAACATCTGTAATGAACAGAGTATATAGCTGCAGTTATTATGTTTTGCTTGTGTCACTGTCAGTATCACCAGCCGCCGTGCTGAAGGACACTGGTGACTCAACACCCATGTAGAAGAATGAAAGGAGATAGTTACTACTGTTGACATGTTTCAAAACTATCAGAGATTCCCTCGTATATGTTCGCTATCTCCGCGATGGTGATAGGGCCTTCATCAAATACATAGCACTGAAGTTGCTTCTTAAATATTATATAAATAATAGGCATTATTTGATATCCATCAAAGGAAACAGTGAGAACGTAACAACCGATCAATCAGACCTGTTCTGCAGGTTTGGCAGATTTTATGCAACGGTTTACTTGGTATAATGGCGAGGGTTAATTATATTATCTACCCTACAATTATGTATATAATTCATAAATGTTTCATATCAACCTGGTTAACATTATCAATGTTATGTGAATATTTATCAAATTTATAATTAACCACTATGCAAATTACAGATTCATGGTATTCAAGGACAACTCCTATTCAATATGCTGATTGCTTTAAATAAGGCTGATCTGTGAAAGAATCTTTCTAATTTTGAATCGTAAGAATAAAATGGTAATATGTAATACATATCAATACTGCATTTGTATAACATCTCAGAAAACAGATCGTTTTTGTAATATTGACTTTATGCATAGCATGTCTATAAGTACAATAAAATATTGTTCAAATTACACGCCACTTCATACAAAAAAGGGTAAGACCTCTGAGTTTTTTTATTCAGGACCATACAATTTACACTTGTTACAATTTTCTAGAAGTGATATTATTTAATCATACTGTTGGTTTTTTCTTCATTTAATGCATGTTCAAAACAGTACTTAGTACTAGTTGTGTTTGTTATTTAAACATAACTAATACCTATCGGAAATTCTTCTAAAAGTATTCTGAATTATCAGAATGAATCTGTAAAGTCAAAGTGTGTGTAATTAATCTTAAAACGTCTGTTTCGCATCTTGTATACAGCTGGTAGTCGCCTACTGATTAAAGATAACAAACAGAAAAATGGTCTGTCTAAAAAATGAAAATGGGATTTACATTGACATATATTTTACCTGTTTCCTCGCAGATATTAAATCCTCGACATGTTTTAAAAAACCCACGCAACAAATACACACACAACAAGTGCAAATTATATTATGACATTATATTTATTGATGATATCTATTACCCTTGTTTGCAATCAAGAGCTGATAGAGTCATATAACACTGGAATATCCCGGAACTAAATGTCAACCAAACGGCCATGTTTAGACAGGAAGACACGGTTCAAAATATTGCTTGTAAACAAACGTAAGGCAACAACTACACTGTATCCCCAGCGGGCTTGGCCTGTGTGTGATATGAAATACCACCGCGTGGACTGACCATAAACATCGATTTCTGTACATAGCGTGACAAAGCGATATCTTGGTTACAAATTTATAGGAATTATGTTCTTTAATCAAAGCAAGAAATCTTTGTTTATGAGATTGTTCTTGTACACAAAGCCTAACCATTTACAACACAACACGATAATATCGCATGAACTATGGTTGTGGGCAGAGCGTGCAAGGACTATTTACTGTCGTGCACAACAGACGGATCTGAACGCTCTTGAAAACATTTTGCATTTAGGAAAAGTTACTATTATTGTACATTGCTTTATGTTTACGGAACTTACGAAAAGAAGGATCCGTATTTCATCAGGTCTGTTCCAACAAAGAACTATTTGTTCATTCAGAATAAGGCCCAAATGATTAAAAGTTGGAACGTCATGTAATACCGAACTGGGATTTTCTTGAAATGAGCAGAGTTAATGATTCCGTTAGCACAATGCTCTTTGACATATTTCCTGACATACTGACGTCTACCGTCATGGAAAAGGCGACACAACCTGAGTATGGTTCTGTAGTGTACTAGTATTGAATTAGCCAATGTTCCTTGGACGTTGTGTGAGACATGCGATCCATCACGTCAAGCACAGCGTGGGGACCATTCACTTGCTGACTTCATTAACGTGATAATTCTTTCCTGAACATACCTAGCGAACATACAGTAAAGGTCACATACTATTTACTCCTTGTTAAGATAACTGTACTATGTGTACAAACTCACACGCTAACATTCCTGAATCCAGTGTTTTACGACTACAAGTACGAGAGAAATATTCTTATTATTACCTTATTTATTATGTTTATTTAAAGAGATATACAAAAACGTGTATTCATTGGGTTTTTTCAGTGCTTCTGTATTACATGACTTACTATGGTTAGAAATAGGTAATCGATAATCGCAACTCTCTGAAGACCATATTGTGAGCAAGTCTGAATATAAAAAAATCTTAATATCAGTTTGTACAAAACTGCAGTCAATAAACTCGAAACGTATAACCGCCCTTAATAAGACGTGATATACAGAGGGAGAGGACTGATGAATAGCATAATAATGACGTGCTAAACACTCGAGCAGGAGCTATTGTACCGTCCTGACACTTCTGATGCATGGGACGACGGGGCATGGGGTTCGTTTTCTCGCACGTGCTTTCAGATGCCATTAAGAGCAAGCTTGATTAATCTTTTCATCAAATACTTGTGACTGTGAAAACCCTCCTCCATCTGTCGAGGGGATACTATATATGTCTCAATCAAATGTTACTGTTGTGCTACTGTGGAATATTTGCCGGAGATTACCGAGTCGAGTACTCTCGGAAGTTTCCGGTTTTCCCTGTGCGTAATTGATCGTGCGTGTTAATATATTTTTTGATACTTCAGTCTGTTGCAAGGAACATTAACAGGACATGCTACGACGTGAGGATGCCTTAAGGTTGCAGGAGAACATTGCACTGCAGAACATGTTCCACTTCATTAGACTTCAATTCCTAAACATTATGCTTCCGAGAGACGCGTTTTATAATCAATTTGTATTTTCGAATACATTTGCAACGATATTTTAACTATGCATCCATATTTTTGGAAAGTAGTGGAGTGCATATTTTACATCCTCAACTATTGTATTAACATCTGTCCAATCAAACTGAGGTTGAAACTTGAAAATCGGTTACATAGGTATAACCAACTCAATACTGTTTCCGCGACAGGATTTCCCTCATAATAATATAACTGGCAACAAGTGGTTCTAGTTGACCATTAAGACTTTACTCTAAGAGGTAAAATACCGAAAACCACATTGAACGCAATAAGATAAAACGTTTTTACCAATATATCGAGTATGTTGTGTTGTAGTTTAGTATCTCTAACACGAACAAAGGTCTTTTCTGATTGGCTGATGTTGAAGCTCATCTGTCCTACACAATGGATTATATGAAATTAATCACCAGCATTATACTATACATGAACGGTACATCAGTATATTTGGTTACATTTTCCACTGTTTCAGTCAAATGTACCAAACACCACTCACACCCCACCACTTCATAATATGAAACCAATTTAGCTTAACTCTTACATATGTTTCACAACATGTGATCACAGTGAAACCACTCTCCACAACTCAACGCATGTCAAGCACAACCCGTTATACCATCCACAACATGTGACCATCATTGCCACCAAACGTTGCTCAAAACATGTGACCATCATTGCCACCAAACGTTGCTCAAAACATGTGACCATCATTGCCACCAAACGTTGCTCAAAACATGTGACCATCTTCGTCGCCAAACACCATCTACTTACCACTCAAAACATTAACATTGCTGAAACAAAGTATTTGTTAAACTGATATTGTTTACTAAGGTCTCTTAACGAAACAGATTAAGCTGCACAACTGAATCACACAACGATATGAACATCATTTCCACGAGATAGAAATAAGTGACTGCAATTAATCTCCCTTGACAACGTGCCAAAATCTTCAGTAAACGAAAAACGTGTTCTCTCAATTGCAAATTTCGCATGTCTTTTTCTGGTTATCGTGTATTTTGACAAGCGTGTTTGCATGATTCGCAAGAACACACATTTACGCCAATCAGCGCACATGGCAATGTTGCCACTTTTTTTGCCGATTTTTGACATGTCTCGCAAATTCTAATCAGTTCCCTTTCATATGATTGCGTATCGTGTTTTGCCGTCACATTTCAAGAGATGGAGATGTTCATAGCGTCAGTTTTTCAGGTCATGGTAGAAATGATTTACTTCCATGGTCATGTCTTTGTGATAAATGAGAATTCATCGTTTCTATTAGAAACCAATTACAAGATGACTTGTATTCTGTTCACCCTTTAACACTCTTATGGTTATAAACCTCTCTGTCATCCATCCGTGTATTGGATTGCACTGTTAGAAAAGGATGTCCACCAAACCGATGCCTTAAAACAACTAATAAATATTTTATACAATATCTATTAAAGACATATAGCCTCTACTAAAATTTGTCTTTTTCATTAATGTTTAATGATTCACTGTTATTCCTTACTCAGTTTCTTAAACACACCAATAGTACTTCAGACCGGTCAACATGCAAAACACATGCAATAACATTTAAGGCTGCTTTCTGTACCGGATTACCTCTACGTTTATACATTTAATCTATATAGAATGTACAATTAATATTGAGTCGAAGTAACTTACGATTTCTTCTTAGAAATTAGCACAATTCAGAATTTAACGAGGGCTTTCATACTGACATTTATCAATGAATATTCGAGCAAAAATATTGATGACTAATCGATTAAGAACGAGTAAATACAGATATTCTAATTGTTTATCCATGATAAAAAATGTATGTGATACACAGAGTACGGCGATTGGTTTTATCAAAAGATGCTCCTGAGTGCAAGTATTTTGATTTGCCATGCCATTCATTTATGTTTGCATTGTTCTCGATTAACTCGGTCATTATTTCTGAGGAATACACCAATTACGCCCCAAGGAAGTTGTCAAGAACCAATTTTTCGATCCATTTTCGCTTTCATGGCGTTGAAACACGGACAAAATATGATTAACAACTATGTCGTGCTTCTTAACTAT